ACAATGATCCTTTACTCCAAAATATCAAACAAAAAACTAACTTATTGTACCCTCTTTTATTCCTTCCCCCTCTGGAAGTAGCTGAATCTAGCCAAGCACTTGGACCTAAAATTTTCAGTACTAGAGGATTCAGGAGAGCATCAGCTGGGTGAGTTGAGCACCATTACTATATTCTAGGCCTTGCTGACTTCTTATCAGGAGGAAGAGGTCAAGGAATAGAAAGAAATTTGGCAGTTTATCATTATATCCATATTCTTTGTTAAAGTAAAGCTTTTGTAAAAACATAATTTCTTATGGTTTGATTTTAACTTGATTTGATAATTTGCCACAGTATTTCTATTTTCTTCCTATAGTCTTGATTTATAGACTGTGTTTAGTATGTTTGAATAAAGATAGGCAGTGTGTGAGAGAGAATGAGAGGTGGAGAAAGAAAATATATTGAGGGCTTCATTTCATACACATTTTTAATGGAACTTTTTTATGTCAAGAGAATTTAACTTAACATTCTCCTAGATTATCTATCTCTTGAACCTCAGAGCAGTACTTTGGAAATTTGGCCTTATAAATTGACCTGCATGTTTGTAAACAGTAAACATGCAATAAGATTTTGCTTCTAAAAAGAGGCAGTCTCAAATGTAATCTTGGTGATGATGGCCCTTTAACTCTGTAAGTCAACACCATGCCTAAGTAATGAGGTAAACATAAGCTAAGCCTGAGTCAAAGCTGAGCCTAATGATGGAAATATTAATGTACAAATTATAGACTAAGACATTAATTGCTCTGTAGTAATTATATATATATATATGTTACCTATACATACAATTCTATATTCTCTATGTATAAACATATATGGTTACCAAAGTTATTTCAATGCTGACTTTATTGCCTTCTTAATGAATTAAACTATCCTACTCCCAAACTATTAATACTCTGTGTGTACATGGTTTGTTTTTGAGTTCTGCTCTCCCTGGAGCATTTTTAATTATTAATTTACTTATTCACTTATTCTGAGAAGATGCCAAGTTGAGCTAACTAAGAGATTGTGCATGTGGAAGAGAAGACTGTGGCAAGTTGCTAGACTGTGCTTGACCCAGGAAAAGATAAGATTAGATGCTGAAAGTCCCACTTGGGAAATTTAAAATCAAACATTATGACATATACCAAAGTGTTTTAGTTGAGTGTTAGTTTTGACACAAATGACAAAACCATATTCCTATGATGAGTGTCATGATTCTTCTGAAGGAAGTGAATATTTATCCTCTTAATTATACTCATTCTCCACCCTACTATGCAACATTAAGAATTAGGGAAGATTGACAGACTTCAGTCAAAGAAAAACTTATTTCTCTGCCTCTCTGTTGAAGAATTTGGATTGTGTGTGTGTGTGTGTGTGTGTGTGTGTGTGTGTGTGTGTGTGTATTTAGGAGTCAGTGGAACAAGAATCACAGCAGAGCAGAGCAGACCTGGGAGGTTCCTTCATTGGCTAGAAGTGATTTCAAATGGTAAAGAAGGCAGTGAGCCTAAGTACACTAGCTTCCAGATCTTTGAATGCTGACATATATTTGAGCCCAAGGCTCTGAACATTACCACATTTATCATAATTTATTCTTTCTCTTAACTTATTTTTGCCCTATATGCCTCAGGTGCATAGTCTTATTATAACTTGCAGCCTTGTCCCTGCAGGGTTATGGATAACAGAAGGAAAATCTGTTTCACATTCTAGTCCTACTAAATAGCAGCCATGAGAGCAGCACCTCTGCCCTGAAGCAAGATGGTAAAGTATAAGCGAATGGCCCATAGGACATTCAGGAAGAAAACAAAACATGAGAACTTAAGGGAACCATTTCTTTTTTTTTTTCTTTTTTAAAGTTTATTATTAATAATAATGTCTTATTATTATTAATACTTTATACATTGATCACTATACATCATTTGGCTTGCAAAGAGAATTTAGCCAGCATGAAATACACCTCAGTTCAACTATTATAAACTGGTAATAACTTTTTTGTTTGTTTGTTTGCATATAGTTGTCCATAGTATCCTCTAATACTGTTTTGTTTTTCTTCTATCTCTGTTGTTAAATTGCCTACTTCATTGTGATTTTGATTTACCTAGTTCCTTTCTCTCTTCCTCTTAATATATTATTTCTTTGGTATGTCAATTTTGTTTTTCTGAAGAGAAGAAATGGTAGAAGTCTTAAGAAAGTGCTCATGGAGCCAGCACGTATAGTGGTTAAGGCATTGGACTCTCACATGTTCTACCATGGTTTGAGTTTCAGATGCATTGGCTTGAAAATCATGCTGGGTGCTTGTGTGTACATGCCTAAAATCTCAGGAGGAGACTAGAGAATAAGGAATTGTGGTGTGCTATCCCCCTTGGGGAGGTGATTTTTCACTTTCCCTCTCACTAACTCTTACTCTGTCTCTCCAGTAAGCACATGTATCCACTAGCAAAAACTTAAAAAAAAAAGAAAAAGAAGGTGCTTTTTGCCAATCAAGATATCAAAGTAGCCTTGATATTGTATCCTTAACAACATGACTTCCTACAGAAAAATATGAATATATTTTACATGATTATTTAATAAGGTCTGTGGGTTTTCTATGACATGAGATTCCTCTAACAGTCCTATCCAAACTTCCCCAGAATACCTCCATCCACATATGCGTGCCTGACCTCTGATATCAGGGGTGTGAAAAAAGATTTTGAAAACAGTCTGAGTGGAAAACAATGATAAGGGGAAGGCAGATTTAAATGGAATAAAATGAAGACCCAAATTTAAAGGTAAAACAAATTATTTTTTAATATTGAATTTGTATTTGTTCATATTATTATCTTACTTTTAAATGTGTATGTGTGTGTGTGTGTGTGTGTGTGTGTGTGTGTATGTTTAGAGGTGTGTACACTCACACAAGAGACAGAAAGAGGGAAAGAAATCACTCCCAAGGTGGGATGACCACACTGCAATCCTTTGTCCTCCATTCTCCTCTTGGGATTTTGGGCCCTCACACACACACTCTCCTGGTGTAATTTTCAAGTCATTGGGTCTGGGACTCAAACTGTGGTCATGTGAGAGTCCAGCACCTAAACACCACACAACCTGCTGTCCCCAAACCAATTCTATTTTTCATTTTATTTTTTAATATTTAAGACATTTGAAAGATGTCTTTTCACAGAGTTCAACATATAAAATCTTTCCCCAGGAATAAATAAATGATGAAGTCTTTATTACTTCCAGGTTTTAGAAGACAATAAACTTTAATATTATAACATAAAAATTATTTCCTCTTCACCCCCATAATCAGATCTGGACATATAATTCTTTACTAAACTCCAGACAGCCAGAAAAGAAACCATTTCTACCCAACAAATAATAATCAGAATGAGTTCTGTTCAGAAGTGTCTAAGAGGGGTCAGGACAGGTAAAAAGGGTGAGACCTTTTATTTATCTAGTAATAATGAAGACGTATTTGAGAGGATGGAGCAATGGAAAAGAGAGGATTTTATATATTTCTTTCAACAAATAAAAGATAGCTTTTTCCAAGCTAACCTAAAAATACTCTTATAATTGAAGTTTCAGAGTATTACAACTGAAAGGATAAGAGATCCCTGTGAAATAGTTGTTGCAGTGTGATAAAGGAGATTCCAGAAATTGGGTGCTTGAATCAGAAGGAGATTCTAAGTCAGAAACATGACAAGTAATGAAAGTACAGCCCTTTTATTACTGAAAGGAAATATTAATTCAGGCAAGGGGCAAGGTGTAGGAGGTAGAAATGAGAAAAAATAGAAAAATGGTGAATGGTGTAAAAAAACTGATATCCTACACTAAGCTCAGAGAGGCTTGCTGTTTTGTTTATTTATTTATTTTGCATTGCGTCTTTTAACAGCAACAAGTAAAACTGCACACTTAAGTTTTTCCCAGCTTGAGAAGTTAACAATTTATTATTTGGAGGGAAGAAAAAAGGTAAGAAGTAAAGGGATTTGGAAACACTATAGAGATAGAAGAGTGACTATTAGTAAAAGAAGGGTTAAACAAACAAACAAAACATACAGAAAAAGAGACATTGGTGAACAATTGGAATGAAGGAAATAATTCTAAGACATTATTCTTAGTGGCCTGGGAAGAAAAACAATCTGGACCAGGGCTAGGATGTCTTTGCACCATCCTGTCACTACTTTTAAGCCAAAGAGAAACTTCCCTGTTCTTCCAAACACTTTCCCAGATCAGTTCTTATCAGTTAAATGTCCCTGGACATTCTTGATTCAAAACTATCGCCTCCCCCAGTTTTCCTCACAATTTCAGGTTGTTATTAAATATTTATTTATTGGCATATTTTACAAGATTTTAGAGGTCTCTGTGTGTCTATCTCTGAATCCCCAAACTACAATAGAGTATTGCACAAGCCATGTTTGATTCATATTTATTCTATTTCTAATGCATCATTTATTTGGTTAGATGTTAAGAAAAGCAAAACAACAACAAATGAATGAAGTAATGAACATTTATTTCTTACCAGGAGGATTCAATCCAAACCAAGAGAGGAAAAACGTACTTAGAGCTATGACAAAGGTTTCATCCATTCTGTCCTTGTAAATATTTTGCATATTCTGGAGACACAGGAAAAGATCCATCCATACATGCTTATTTGAACCACAGCAGACAAATTCCTTCATGAACTTGGTCTCTATTCCCCATTTGTCTAATAAAAAAATTAGAGAGTAATCTCTAATAGTTCTACAAGATTGTGAGTCCTAAAATTCTATCAATACACTTACAAGGAGGATGATTTCAGTAGCAATTTGTACTGCTAGGGCAGGGCTGGGAAAAAGGTAGAGGAGGGCTGAGAGCCTGACATCGAACTTCTAAGCAGTGTCAGAGCTGCCATGGACAAGTATGGCTGTCACCATTCAGACCTCACCCTGCAGAGCCACACCCTTATCATGGCCAATCTGCTCACAGGAGCAGGGAGGGCATAGGCTGGGGTTGGGCATAAAAGGCAGAGCAGGACTAGCTGGTGCTTACACTTGCTTCTGACACAACTGTGTTCACGAGCAACACAACAAACAAACACCATGGTGCATCTGAGTGGTGAGGAGAAGGCTGCCGTCACCGGCCTTTGGGGCAAGGTGGACTTGGAAAAAGTTGGTGGTCAGTCCCTGGGCAGGTTGGTATCCAGGGTATGGATCAGGCAGTTTTTGGAGGTGAATGGAAACTGGGCAAGGGAGACTGTGGTCTCCTGGGTTTCTGGCAAGCACTGACTTTTCTGTCTCCTGTGCTGTTTCACTCTCAGTCTGCTGATTGTCTACCCCTGGACCCAGAGGTTCTTCGACTCCTTTGGGGACCTGTCCTCTCCTTCTGCTGTCATGAGCAATGCCAAGGTCAAGGCTCATGGCAAGAAGGTGCTGACTTCCTTTAGTGATGGCCTGAATCACCTGGACAACCTCAAGGGAACCTTTGCGAAGCTGAGTGAGCTGCACTGTGACAAGCTTCACGTGGATCCTGAGAATTTCAGGGTGAGTCTAAGGAATGCTTCCTTTCATATTTGAGTCCTTCACTCCAATTTTAATCTGCTTGCTATTCTTCCATATTCCTTTTCACTCTACTCCATTTCCTTATTTAATGTGTTTCAAATGATTTATTGATTTTTAAGTCTGTGTGTTTTTTCTCTTTCACAACCTGCTTTTTATATTTTTTATTATAATTGTTTTTAATATTTTATTATGAAAAATCATGTATAATATTCCAAAATATTTGTGTCTATATATTTACCACATAAGGTATTTTCACCTTGAAGTATAAATTTCTATATTCCAGGGTATCTTATTAATTTATGTATATATAATTTAACATATTTGATATTGTGTGGTTTAAAATTGCAGTGAAATTGGATGTCTATGCTCTACTTAGAAGAATGCTTCAACCAATCTTTGTCTTTGAATTTCTTTCTCATGGAGACAAGAGATTAACTAAAAATACTACTTGAAAAATACAAAGTTAATTAGTAAAGTACATTTAATATTATCTCAAAGTTCTTGAAGACTGCAGAAAATGTTTTCCTCTTTGCTTAATATTTCATCTTTTGTCTTTCCTTCTCTCTCTGCTCATCCTCCCATTTCCTTTTCCCTAGCTGGTACCTGATTATACATACTAGCTCCCATCTACTAATTCTGCAGTTAGAAAAATCCTATTCCTTCATATAGGGGTCGGAGAGGCTCTTCAAAAAAAAAAAAGAGTATAATATTGTTCCAGCAGTTATAAATCATTTTGAAACTTAAGAATCATTAAAATTTTGTAAGTTCAAAATAAAGTGAATATCTGCTGGTACAAAACCAGGCTATATTGTAAGGAGGAAAGTTACTAAAAGGCTGTCTGTGATCACACTAATCAATCACTTTGTGCATGCACACACACACACTCTTATTTTTCAGTATATCCTTCTTTATTTATTTGTGTTGGTGAGGATAACCCAGAGATTGACTGGGATTAGGACATGTGCAGAGAAGTGAGTGTTAGCCTTGTGTCTCAGAAGTCAAGCTTATTTTCTCTGTTAACCATATGTGTCTGTCCCTCTCCTTCTTCCCACAGCTCCTGGGCAACGTGTTGGTGCGTGTGCTGGCTTGCAACTTCGGTCCGGAATTCACCCCGCAGGTGCAGGCTGCCTTTCAGAAGGTGGTGGCTGGTGTGGCTAATGCCCTGGCTCACAAGTACCACTAAACTTTCTTTCCTGCTGTCCTGTTCCCATAAAGTCTCCGCCAATATCTGAGACCAAACATGGGGAAATGATAAACATCTGGCTTCTGCCTAATAAAGAACATTTATTTTCACTGCAATGGTGTCCTTAAATTATTTCTATGTCTCTAATTTAGAAGGAAAATTGGGAGATCAAGACATTTAAAATATAAATAAGTGAGGGGTTAGTTCAGACCATGGGAAAACATACCTGTATCTCAAACTTCGTTGAGGAAGTTGAGACTGTGAACACCTAATGTAAAGAGCTAATCCCTTCTTTCCTATTCCTTATCTTCCTCACAGAAAAAGAAGATATAAGTTGAACTTTGAGTTAGTGAATATTTTTGCTGTGTTTTATTTTAAATTACTATTAATATTTAACCTTCCTGTGTCCTTTCTCTGTCCAATTGCTTCTGCTCTACTGTACTAAGCTCTCCTGACTAAAGATACCACTTTCTCCCTAAGATTTATCTTTCATGGAACCAGCAGTTGGCGTAATGGTTACGTTGCTGGATTGCCATGTAGTTGACCGCGGTTCAAGTCCTGGACCCTGTGGCTTAAACTCACGCCGGGCGCGTGTGCGTGCGTGCCCAAGATCCCAAGAGGAGAGTGGAGGAGAAGGGACTGTGGCATGGCTATCCCCCCTGGGGGTGATTTCTCGCTTTCTGTCTCTCTGTCTCTCTCTGTCTTTCTGGAGAGTGCTTGTGCCCTATAGCAAAAACCTCTCCAAAAAAACTTTTTAATAAAAATTAAAAAAAAAATATTTACCTTACACATTTTTAAAAATTTATTTTATTTGTATATTATTAAAATTATTATTGTTCATACATTAAATCACTATACATCATTTCTGGAGGGCCAAAGAACACCTGCTTTTTTTCAAGGGTGTTTTTGAGAAAGTTAGCTGAAGCTTAACAGAAAAATATTCAGGATAGCTTTGGTAAAGAATACTTCTCCACTACAAGATTATTCTTACTTATTCCTCTTATGTAAAAATTTTGTGAGAGCTTTGATGGGAAATCATCAAACATCCACCTTACAGTTCTGATTTGGATCCTACTGACTTTCCTTGACCATAGTCTTTATCTAATATTTTAAAATTATTATTCTTACATTAAATCACTATACATCATTTAGATTGTAAAGAGACTTTACCCAGTTTGATTTACACCTCAGTCCAGCCTAGTTGAGACTATTATACACATTTTCAACAGATAATAAACCTTATGCATGTCCCACAAGTGTCTTACCTCTCCATTTTTCCCCGTAATTTCTTTTCTTAAGGTCTTCCCCTCTCACACTCTCTTTCCACTTTGTCTCTAGTGTCTATTGCAATTTTTAATACTTTTATGTTCTCTAGTCTTTCAGTCTCTATCACAGTGTGCAGATTTTTACTAGCCATATTGCTTCTTCTCTTCTATCCACTCTTAGCCTTAATTACCTCTACTGTCATGGAGAACTGCTTGAAGGGAAAATAGGGAAAAGTGGTTGTCTTGTCTCTGTAGCCTTCATTATCTACTTTCATCACTAACAATGACCAGGAATCTACAATGCAGAACTCCCAGCGATTTACATTTTTTTCGCAGTCTGCACTTTTAAGAGTTTTAAATGTTGATAAGACAGAGTAGAATTTGTAAAGTGACATTTTATGGTTTGAAAATTATTGCTACCTAATAAGCCTTTCATGGGCATACACCAAATGGAATTCCAATTCTCCATCAAGATATTTTAGCATTGGTATCCAGAAAGTGATTAGAAGTCCTCTCTTTCTTATCCTACATCTGATAGGTTTTCTGCTTCTGTTGTTATTACCTTCAGCAACACATCCTAACTTCATATTTTTATTTAATAACCACTTAGGTAGTTGCTAGATTCTGGAAATAAAATATGAGCCCCAAGTAGTCCCCAACTCCTCCCTTACCCCCAATTCTGAATGTAGCTGGCAAGATTTTGAATATAATGCACATAATAAGTGACAGTAATTATAAAATGGTGTGTACAATGTTTTATGACTTAAGCAGATATCTGAAATCATAAAACTTCTAGGAGGAGATTGGTCTTGGCACCTTTTTAAAAAATTACATAAAAAAACAGACAACAAAAGCAAACACAAGTAAGTGGGATTACATTGAACAAATATGTTTCTGCACAGAAAAGGAAATATAAATAAATAAATAAAAGACAACTTATGAAATGCGAGAAAATATTTTAAACCATATATCAGATGAAAAATAGCAAACATATAAGGAACTCATGTTGCTCAAGAGCAAATAACAAAGCTAACAGAGAAAAAATTGGAAATGGAAAAAAGATATTCATAAACATTTCTCTATAGAAGACACATACATGGCCAACAGGTAAATTAAAAGATATTCAACATCACTAAACATCAGGGAAATGATAATCTAAACCACAAAGAGCTTAAAACTTTACCTCTTTTAGAATGACTAGTATCAAAAAAAACCCTCTCTAATAAAAATGAATGACTAGTATAAAAAAGTAAACAAGTATTGGTGAAAATGAAGAGAAAATGCAACTTTTGTATATTTTTGGTGAGAATATAAGTTGGTATAGTCATTATAGAAAACAGTACAAAGTTTCCTCCAAAAATTAGAAACTGAATGACAATACAATCTAATTATTCTTACTATATCTATCTCCCTATATATAGATGGAAGTGAGATTAATTAAATATATGTATATAAAAAATGAAATAATTATATCAAATACCTATTCATATTCCAGCTTCTTGCAGCATTATTCACAGTAGCCAAGATAGGAAAAAGACCCAAGTGGTCATTATCAGATAGATTAATAAAAATGTGCTATTTAGACAATAATAATAATTTTTTTTGTGTGTATATGTATACACACACCACACATAAACACAATATACATGTGTAAGCATATATGTTCACATATACAGGTATATACATAAATACACATGTGTATAGAAATGTGCATACATATACACATATATATGCATATGTGTATATACATATACACACAATAGAATCTTACTTAGTCAAAAAATAAGAAATGCTGCCATTTATGATAATAAGCATTAACCAGAAGAATATATGGTAAATGAAGTAAGTCATACATAGATAAACAACAAGTGAAGGATTTTATTTACATTTAACATTAAGAAAAAAAAAGTCAAGCTCATATTAACAAAGAGTAGAATGGTGGCTATCAGACATAATTGGTTGGGGTAAAGGTGAATTGTTGATCAAAGAGTACACATTTTCAGTATAAATGTGGAGACTTGTTATTTAGCATGGTGACCTTAATAGTAATGCACTGTATTTTTGAAATTTGCTGAAAGAGTAGATTCTCACTATATATTTTTTTTTAAATGTTACTATGTGAGGTCATAAATATTTTAGTAAGCTTAATTGAGATAACCCTTTCCCAACAAATGCATACATCAAGCTATCACATTAGGTACCTTACATATACAATTTTTATTTTTAATCAGAAAAGTTAAAAATAGTAAAAACTAAAACAAATAAACTATATCATGCAAGTTAAAAATTTCTTTTAATAAAAAATTTCTTTTAATGGTTACAGTTGCATCCTTAATTTATTAGAAACAAACATCTGTTTGTCATTTTACTGCTTTATGAGACAATACAATAAATTTTAAATACTTTATTTCTATTTTTCTCCTTCCAAATCGATCTCTTTTTCTTGCTACATATTTTTCAATATTTTATATAAAATATTTATTCCCGTATATCTTACTAGTATCTTAAGCTGTATAGGAATGTTTATACTTATTTATATATTACTTTACTTTACATACCTTTCTTCATATCTAGCCTTCCTTTAAGATTATCTGTAATATTATCATTTTCCTGATCATCCTTAATATCATAATTTTCTTCTAGAAATAATTAGATTACTTTTAGTTTCTGTAAAAAGTCTTCACTTTCCTCATTCCTTAAACTTATTAAAATAATATTGTTCATGTACAAGTTAAGTAGAATAACTGTTCATAGTAAAATGTAATTCATGATATGAAAATATAGTCTTTAAATTTAATGGGAAATGAGAAACAAACATCAACACATAGTAATTGAACAGTTAGAAAGAGTTAAACTTCTATAAATGGGTCCATAACCAGCTACATACTTAAATGTTAAAATAAAATCCAGTCATAAGAAAACAAGAAGAAAAATATGGAAGGACATATATAAAATCTCAGGAATTTTTAATTATCAATCAACATAGAAACCATAAAGGGAGAGATGAATTCCATTGACAATAAAATCATTTAAATTGTTCTGTGTTAAAGATAAAATCTCATGAATACAAGCAACAGATAAATGGCAAAACAAAGTGTATGCATAATATATGTGACAGAAATTGCTAATGTTCCAATGTACAAGTCTGTCATTTAAATCAGTAAGGAGAAAATATGATAAACAGAAAATTTATAAAAAAATGTTTGCAATGAACTAAATAAAAATTAGCAATTGCTAGTAAATATTTCAAATCTTTTTAATTTCATAAAGTATTTCAAAAGTATTTTTTGTTTGTTGGTTTGTTTTCTTTTTTTGGAGAGGTTTTTGCTACAGGACATGTGCACTCTCCAGAAAGACAGAGAGAGACAGAGAGACAGAAAGTGAGAAATCACCCCCCCAGGGAGGATGGCCATGCCACAATCCCTTCTCCTCCATTCTCCTCTTGGAATCTTGGGCACACACGCACACGCGCCCGGCGTGAGTTTAAGCCACCGGGTCCAGGACTTGAACCACGGTCGACCACATGGGAGTACAGTGACATAGCCATTATGCTAACTGCTGGTCCCAAAAGTGTTTTTTAATAGTTTATCATAACTTTGAAATTAAAAAAAGAATCAAAACAAATCTATTCTGATTAAATACAGCATTTAATGGGTTCTGTTTGTTTTTGTTTTTGTCATAGGGCACCTGTGCCCTCCAGAGAGAGAGAGTGTGAGAAATTCCCCCCAGTGGGATGGCTACACTATAATCCCTTCTTCTCCATCATTTTTCTGGGTTTTTGGGCACACATGCATGGCAATTTTTCAAGTTGCCAGGTCTGGAACTCAAACAGGTCTGAAACTCCAGTGGCAGTCGAATATGTAGGAGTCCAGTGCCTTAACCACCATTGCCACCAACTGGCCCCAAAGTAACAACGAATTTTAAAAGGTATACATATATACAAATGTTGTGGTCTGGTGCCTGAATGAGTTGAGAAAGACAAGATGAGATTTTACTATTTCACAGTACACACAGTCTTTGCAGATCTGCTGCTTTGTCTTTCCTTTAACAATGACCATTCATTCAGGTGTACTAATTTTCAAGGTAGGTTGTTTTTATTCTTTGTTTTCTCAAGATATCTGCAGGACTACCTCACCACTTTCCCACGATATTTCTTCCCAGATTGACTCAGAACATCTAAGCTTGTATTTTTCTCTACTAATTAATGCTATTTTTACCTATGGTGCTTGCTTCTCTCTCTTTGTTAATCATGTTATATCCACATGTATACACACACACACACACACACACACACACACACACACACACATAATGGTGATCTTTGAAAAGTTCATGGAAAATGTGTATTATGAATAAAACTGCATAGATTTCAAACTTTTTGAACTGAAAAGGATTCATACTTTAATTCCATTTTCTACAAACTTGTTAAAGTCTCTTAATGTATGTGTGTGAGTATCTATATCTACCTATAACTTTATGTTTAATATTTGCATTATTAGGTTAGGATCCCCAGAAAGAAGTTCTTGGAGCACTCTGTTTCCTCTCTGTACTTCCAATGCAGAAACTATACTTAAAAAGCCAAATTATGTGATTGAATGTATAAGAGAAAATGAAATAAATAAAAAAGAAAAGTAAAAAAAGAATAAAAAATAATATCTATAAATAGTGTTGTTATTCTGAAGATCTTGAACAGGCTTTAAAGGGGAGGGAACATTTGAGCAAGGCAATAGTATCAGTTTATCAGTTGGTGTCAGATACCACACAGAAGTCAAGTTAAAACACATATTAAAATGATTTCAGTGGTTACATGTATGGCCATAATGAAAGGAGGTTCAATAGTTATGGTAGAATCTCACGTTAAAACGCAGTAGGTTAGGAAGCAAATCAGAATTTGAAGCAAAGGAATACAATATGCACTTGAGAAGGCTGGGCCAAATACGTCTTCCAAGCTTTAAAATGAAGCTTTAGAATTAGAAGGACAACTGTTATTTGGAAAAAGATATAAAATGAGCAATGTCATTAAGATCGTTTTTTGTTGGTAGGTTCCTTAGTTGATGCTGATAGCCAATGCAGTGACTGTCCAAACATGGCTAGCCACATTAGCATCTCATCACTTTTGTTAGAAGTGATAGTATCCATATCACTAAAGCCTGGCCACCTGTCATAGGAAACCATTACACTGTGTGTTCCAATCTAAGTGGGTTTAAGAAGAACCCTGAATAGAAAAGTGACTTTAAGTATGAAACCAATAATAAAAGTCTGTATCGTATTGTCATGAAAAGTCATTAGATATTTTTTCTGTTTTTCTATGCAAAAATACATCACAACTTTCCTAACAATACAGTACTTAACATCTGGCATGCAACTTAGAAATATCCTTGGCTTTCAAGGATTAGACACCTGAATAGAGCAGAAAGGTAGGAGTAGGAAACAGATGAAGGTAAAAGAAAGCATGTCCTTGATGAGGGAGTGAAATTTGTGTCATAAAGTTACCAGTTTTTCTTCTACTGACTATTCGTATTTTGTAATTGTCCAGCTGATGGTTAAGTGAGTACATTTACTAAATTCTTATAACTCAAAGAGAAAGGGGACTTCCAGAAATAGGTGGAGAGACTGAGGCTGGAACTAAATCAGACCTGAAATTTTATCACAGTGGAAAGAAAGTTGACTAGCTGAGAACATATTAGATATCTTTCCATTTAAAAGAGAGTACCTTGATAATGGCCTGGCGGATTTGATGGGTCTTGATGCTATAAATGACTGGGTTCATCAGTGGTGGAAAGAGAATATACACATTGCCCATGATGATATGAATAAGAGGGGAGGAATGCCTTGCAAACCTGTGAACAATGGAAAGGCCTAACACAGGGACATAAAATACTAGGACAGCCAGAATGTGAGACACACAGGTATTGAGAGCTTTGAGCTGCTCCCTGTGAGAAGCAATAGCCATTACAGACCTGAGAATCAGAATGTAAGAGAGAAATATGAAAAGGAAGTCTGAACCCATGGCAAGCAAGATGACTGACAAAGCATAGAGACTGTTGATCCGTGTGTCAGAGCAGGAGAGTCGGATCATATCCTGGTGTAGACAGTAAGAATGAGAAAGAATATTGTCATGACAATAGGAGAAACCAAAGAGGCGCACGCCAGGAAAAATGGTGAATGAAGCACTCCGAATTCCCAGAAACACCCCAATCTTCACTACCCGTGAGGTAGTGAGCACTGAGGAATATCTCAAAGGGTTGGTGATGGCCACAAAACGATCATAAGCCATGGCTAAAAGCATGGCTGATTCCATGAAAGAGAAGGTATGGACAAAATAGAGTTGGAATACACAGGCATATAAATGGATACTTACGAAGTTCAGCCATAGTAGTCCCAATACTGTGGGCATGGTTGACACACAAAGACCCAGGTCAGTTCCTGCTAGCATGGCCAGAAAGTAGTACATGGGCTGCTGTAGGGATGAGTCAGTGCGGACAATATGAATGATAGTGGCATTGCCTAGAACTGCTGTCAGGTACACAGAGAAAATAGGGATGGCGATCCAGCAGTGGGCCCATTCGAATCCCGGAAAACCTGTCAACCAGAACTTGGAAGAGCTAACATTGGAATATGAAAGACTAGACATGATGCCAGAGACAGCAAGACAGGACAGATTTGTAAGTAGTGACTTCCCTATTTTGACTGGCAATGCAAATCTACACCCAGTGAGAATTCATGAAGGATGAGCTGATTCATTTACTCTTCTGTAGCCCAGTTAGCTCAGACTGAAGGCAATATTGAGCCGTGGACTCGATATGAAAGGTTTGATTAATTTTGGATACTAAAAACAACCCAAAGAATGTCAGGGCAACAATGATAACAGAAGTGAGCCCTAGAAAAAAAGTAAAATTGCTATATACATCTGAAATAAATAAGTAAACAGAAAGTCTATTAAGTCAAATATTTGGCAACGAGGATGTCAAATCAAAAAAGAAAAATGATTAAAGGCAGGGAGAGGTATAATAATTAGGCAAGTCAAAACAAAATGAGAAGAGGCAAAAAATGATTAATTGATATAAAAATGTGAATCATTAAATCAAAAATATCAAGCATTAATTGATTTAAAAATGTGACTGATGGCTAGATCATCTGATACTCTCTTCTAGGTTTTCTGCTGCTGAGTATTTCCAAAAACAAACCACGGATAAAAATACAAAAATTCCTGCTAATGTACTCTTTAACAGAGCTCTAAAGCCCTGCAGTGCCTACCCACAAGTTTTCCAATGGATTCTTGGGCTCTTCATTACTTCTCAAGTTGTGAATTGATATCCATCCAAAGGTCTCATCTATTTTCTTCAGGTCTTGCATTTTGGGTTAGATTTTCTATTTCTGGAGATTCCATAGAGCCACAGATCCAGATGTAACTCGGATATAAACAAGAAAAGCAAAGGAGATACGGAAAGAAGGGGCTTTCAAAGCCAAAGAGTATTCTGGAAAGAAAAAAAAAAATAATGGGGAGGAGTGGGTAAGAGAAAGGCAGGAATAAATAGGATTCTGCCTGATAGTTCTCAAATAAAAATGATTTCCCCTCTTTGAGAGTTGACAGAATTGCTGGAAGTTCATCTGGCTGGAATTTTTTTTTTAATTCTTTAATTTTTTTTCCTTTTTTTGGAGAGGTTTTTGCTATAGGGCACGTGTGCTCACCAGAAAGACAGAGAGAGACACAAAGACAGAAAGAGAGAAATCACCAACCAGGGGCATGGCCACGTCACAATCCCTTCTTCTCCATTCTCCTCTCAGGATCTTGGGCACACGCACACACGCACCTGGTGTGAGTTTAAACCACCAGGTCTGGGACTCGAACCATGGTCGTCTACATGGGAGTCCAGCGACATAGCCATTATGCTAACTGCTAGTCTCCAGGCTGAAAAATTAACATATTTTCCCACTGGTCTTTCTGTCTTCCTTTTCCAAAGTCTTTCTTGTATAATAGCATCATGGTAAAACATACAATTGCATACTAATCATGAGTATTTAGCAGTTCTTTTCTCCCTTTTTATCTCTCTGTCTCTTTGTTCACTTATCCCTCATAGACCTGCTTATAGAATCATAATCACCTCATTTTTAAATGTATCAAAATATTAAGTTTTATATGCATTGTGAAAGTAATTTGATGATGCTCTAATCTTCACTTCTTTTTGATGCAGTCTGATTCAACAAGATTTTATAGAGTTCTTATATATTAAATGTAAAAAACAGTCCTAGAAGTTGGAAGTAAAAAAATAATGATACAACTTTTTTGTCTGAGAAATTTAGTCCAGATAAATTTTTTTTTAAAAAAAACATTTGATTAACTCTTTATCTCATTTTTCTCAGAAACATTTGGGATTTCAGTGATTGCTGCAGAAGTGTATGATACCCCTGTTGGTCTCCTCAGTCAACATGAATTGTTAACATAGATATCCAATCTTGAAAGGAACTCAATTCCTGTTTTTGAAACTAAGTCAGAGGGCACTGGAGAGAATAAGAAAGTTAAGAATAAGGAAGTCCCAAAAGATTTCCCAGAGGATATATGAATGTAAAGCTGGCTATGTTTTGTTGGTGAGGAGGTAAAATGCAGTAGAGTCAGCCTTCTCTGTCTTTGGTAGGCCCTGAGCTGGGAAGCCACCACAGTAGCATTCAGAGCACATGAGAGAAGTATGAGCTCTTAGGCAGGTCTTAGCATTTCTGCTCCTTTTTCTTTCTGCTTCTCATCTGCCTGCTCATTTTGAACAGTAAGATGAGACTTTCAATTTTGCTACAATATCAATCTTTGCACTGAAATCAATGTTAGACAGCCTTGACTCCATAGAGAACAAAGAACAACCTTGAGCAGGGTATGGGCTCCTGTATTCTTAGATGTCCAGCTAGGTTTCTTATGTTGCTACTTTAGGGTGAACTTGCCTTCTTCTGGAGAGATAACCAAGTTTCTAAAGGAACCAGTTCAAAGCCTGAGCACATATAGACCATGAGAGAGCATTACCATGTTGAAGTGTTGACCAAATTACAATAAATCTTAGTGGGGTCTGAACAGTTTGGCACTATATTTTTGAACTGAACATATGCACATCACACATCCGATAATCTGTCACTTTCCAGGAACACATATACGAGCACAAAAATGTACAATAATCTCATGGCAACATTATTTATTATAGCCAAAAGTTGGAAAGTACCAAAATATGGATCAACAGTAGAATCAATAAATATATGTTTTCTGACATATAAAGTGGAATATCCAGCAATAAAAAATAATCAACTACAATCATACATCAACATGAATGCAATTCACAAACATAATGTTAACTAAATAAGTCAGATGTAAAACACATAATTTTTGTCTATAAACATTCTTTTATAATTTAATGTTTATAAATTTTTGAAAAGGGGGACATGAATTCATCAAACTAGAAATTAATTAAATTTGGATAGTGATTAACTTCGAGAACAATTAAGGAAATGACAAAGAGTGGGCATTTGATGTCTTCTAGGATATGTTTAATGTTCCATTTCCTGTGTGCTATGTGGGTGAATTCTGCAAAAGTTAATTGAGCTGTACATATATGATTTGCATAAATTTATACATAAATGTTGATTTAAAAATAATAATATAAAAACTAAATTTAAAAAACTAAACAATAGAAAAGTCAGACTATTTCTTTGGATTTAAAGGACTACATATTGCTGAGATATCAATACATTCTTAAATAACTAAACTTAGATTTCAGATTTCACTACCATAACAGCTTGTGCAGTCTAACCCAGGCAGACGGTCTTACCTCTGTGGAGAAAATAATAATTAAAAACAAGTAATTTGCACCCTCTGGCAAAATTTAAAACAAATCATAATAAAATAAACAATTCTTCATTCTCTACCACCCACAGTGAACTTCTAAAAAACAAATATAATTATATCCTTCCTTCATATGGTCTAATAGCTATTAATTTCTCCAAGCTCATCGCTACCATACAGCCTATGAGTAGGTCTCTAATACAGAGTGTTAATATATATATATAGAAAGAAGATAGAAAAAAAGACCAAATAAACAAAAACTAATGTCTATGAAAACTGAATAAACAGACCATCTATGGTATCAGTTGTCTTGGGAACTTTGTCCCACTCTAAGACAGATTTTTCCAGTAGTTACCATTTCCCATCTGGTTCATAGCAAATTTATAAGGCCATTGAGACTGGGACACTGTAATTTTCCCAAATACTCAGCTCTATTGACTCAGATAATAAGGCTTTGTCACATTTGGGACACTTTTGAAATCTATAGATTTAAAAATTCTATGAAACTAAGAAATTCCAATTTTGTACCTAGTTTTCACAATTTTACAATATAAGTATGGCCAATAAGCACGAAAATATAATTCCCATAAATAAAAGATAGTCTACTCTCACACAATCAAAAAATCCACTGTTGAAAGCCAACAGCAAGGGGTGCCTCCCAGCGCTATATCTATCAGGTGAGATCTATGTGGGGAAAGCAAAAAGGCCTTGTTACTCACTGATTGCCTTACGTAAGCCCTCTAAGGAAGTCTACTTTTTAATATTCTACCATCTTTTATTTCTAGTAATAATATATCTTAACAATAATCTCCTAGTGAACTGCTACAAAAAACTCCTCTTCCTGAGTTACTGTAACTATATCCCCAGACTTCATTTATTTGGTTTTGGTTAGAATTTCACTGGGTATGTTGAGTTTTGTCCTTCAGAAAACTTACCATCCTAAGGTCAAAGCCAGTGTTTCTCTTTGCACAAGATTGCAGTCAAGAGTCCCTTCGAGCAGCAGTACTGCTGGAAGGTAAATCATGTCATCCAGGAAT